TGACTGGCATCATACCCTGCATTGGGTAGTGTAATATTTTCAAAACTCTGAAAAAATAAATGTGGAAAAACACAAAAGCATTGTACACAATTTAAACCAATTAATGTCATGTAATTAACAAGGACAATTTATGTTTTTTAGTTGATGAGTACTGCATACATGTATATCACTGTAAAATCATTCGACAGTGAGGAGAATACTTCCGGTTGTTATATGCCAACCACCTTAGTTACTATGAAAATCTGAGACCGGAATTAATGTTTTCACGGTTTTTACATGGACGCTGGTCAATAGAAATGAATAGGGGGAAAGACATATCAATCTCACAATTTCAGGGGGTGCGCGCAGAGCAGCCTTTATAGTTTACATACCTAGTATATACACGTTCTCCTGGCGAGACCTCAAATAATCTTCGTAATATCTATCAAACTGTAGATCCTACACATCCACTGGATGTAGATTTTAAAACAATATACACTTCTCGCTAGAAATTGAATCAAAACGCATTTGAATGGCCAAACTATCCTACAATTTAGGATTTTCCACGTGGCCAGCAGCAGCTCGGTTACATTTAAAGGGCCAGACCCAGAATCAGCACTTCAGTAACAGGGCTGTAATAGAGGGGTATGAGGCATGCTACAATGGGTGATCTGTTTGGTATTTTGAGCAAAACACTTCAGAGACATGTTTTGTATAGATATGGCCCGATAATATATTGTTCAAATTTAGCATTATCGGTGAGCTTTAAAAAAAGAACAGCTTTAACAAACGAATAACACCGAATAAAATGAACTAAAGGTGAGGAGACAGAGTGCATTTAGGAGATGATGCCAGTCACAGAGGCGTTAGCAGCTCAGCCCTTCATCTATAATCTTCAACCTAAAAGAGGGATTATTTTACAAGTGCAGATGGAAACTTTATGACCACCTGTCACATCATCAGATCCTCAATGCTTGCTGGAGGTCCAGACATGCAGCAGATTGCCAGGATTGATCAGCAAAACAACAGTGAGTCAGAAGAGACACGCACTGTTGTGTTTTAGTTTTGTAACGCATTACTAAAGCCTGCACGGTATATATGTACTGTAAAATAACAGACACCTGGACGTAAGATTGCATCTATTCTACTCTACACTAAACATATATTACTGTATTTCTTTTCATTCTTTCCTTACAAATAAAGAGAAAAGTATTTAACATAATACATTCAATATATGTTGCTTTAGTTCCTTACAAGTCCTTAATCATTGGATCAGTTGACTGTAAGAATAACAGTATTTGGAGCATTTATAATACAAAACTGACATTTATGACAGGCTTTACTAAACTGATGAACATAAGCTCAGACGCAGAATTAAAAAGCATCCAGCAGCAGAGAGAAGGTCAGCTGTTTTTCATATCAGCTGTACAACAACAACAAAAATAGGAGAACACAATAAATGAAACCTGAATTATTATCAGAATTGACAGCAGTTTGATAAAACCATCAAAGAAAACCATACTGGACAGTGGACACAGACTTCAGGAGACAGGCTGATGAGCTCTGTGTGGTCCCCGGCAGCAGATCCAGGCAGGGCTTCAGAAGCAGGGCATGAGCCGTTAAACTACAAAAGAGTTATCATCACTATAGAAATATCTGGCATATGTTCACTGCTTGACAGAAAACAAATACATTATGTTATGTATCTGCCTTTATTTAAACCAACTGCAATTTAATTGTTTATTGATTATTTAACAGTATTTTAGAATGATTATGAAATACTGTAAGATACTGTTGTCGTCCCCCTCCTGGTAAATGTGTAGCAATCCATTTCAGTGTAATAAAGCATATTTCATATGATTTCAATAGACCTTAAAGGTCCCCAATAATACTGTTTTTCATCAATACCGATAGGTCTCATATATACAAAACATGTCTCTGAAGTGTTTGGCTCGAAATAACAAGCAGATCACCCATTGTAGCATCCCATAAATCCCTCTGTTTCAGCCCTGTTTCAAAAGTGCTGATTCTCTGTCTGTTACTTTAGATGAAAATAAGGAGCCCCTCCCCACGCCCCTCTGAGAGAGATTTGGTTCAAAAGAACCCAATGGTGCTCTAGGAGGAGATTCAGGTGATAAGGTGGGGGGGGGGGTACCTTGGTTGGTTATTGGCTAATGGTTACACGAGCCAAAAAATCGTTATGACATCATAAAGTGGCCAAAATCTAATCAGCTCATTTTCAGACAGGTTTTTATATAAATGGATCAGGACAAAAAGAGAGAGAATCTTTTTTCCTGAAACTTTCAGAATCTCTTTCCACAGAGGGGACACATGTTTATGTATTAAAGGTCCCATGACATGGCCATTTCTACTGATCATAATTCCATTGTTGAGGTCTACTAGAATAGATTTACATTGTGCAATTTTCCAAACTCACATTGGTTTTCTCATACAGCATCTCTGTATTGTATGTGTATTCACTGAATTTCACTCTCTGTCCTAAACGCCTTGTTGGAGATGTTTAAAACTCAGTTAATGGGGCTCATTCACTGGCGCTTCCACAAACAACAAACAACATAATTATTACATTCAAATGAAGTACATTATTCAAGTTTACATTAACTTTGGATAATAACACGGGAGAAATGAGCGGATGCGCTCTCTTTTCCTCTCTCCCCCTCTCTCTCTCTCCTGACAGCCTGTCAGTATCTCATGCAGCTCACTGATCCAGTAATAATAATATATAATATAAATAAATATATTTATAACTAGTTTAGCTTGTTCCAGAGGTAGATCAAATAGCTAAGTGTGTTAGGTCTAACACTTAGTGTGTGTTTTGCTCCCCCGTCCGTCTGTCCGTCACAGCGGGTGGAGCTGCAGGATTTCTGCTTCACACACGTTGCATACCACTATTTTATTGTCATTTTCGGACACCTTAAAATACTGCCAGACTGGTGAAGCCGCGCACAGAGAAAAGTGTCATGTATTTTACGTCATCATTTTACGTCATGCGATCGGCTCTCGCGATCGGCATTTTTAGAGAGCACCGATCGATCGGCAGAGAGTGAGTATCGGCCGATATCGATCAGCGGCCGATCGATCGGAGCATCCCTAAAAAATATTCATAGACCACAGAACACAGGAGTCGCAGGATGGTAGTCATGTGGGGGGGCTGCGTCTGTGTTCAGGTTACAGATTCAGAGGAGATCCTGCTCCTGTGACCCTATGGGTATGTGTCGTCCGGTTCAGTAGCTCTTGGTCGAGTCTCACAAGGCAAAGTGTTCCCAGTGAGACTCAGGCCCAGTTCCAAACTGCCCCCTACACCCTACCCCTACACACTTCCCCCTGTTTGCAAGGAGGGTACGCCACGTTAAGTGCTGTTCCAATCTAACAAGTGGGGAGTGAGTTATCAAGTCCTCCAACAGAGAGTCTGCACCGGTCCGGACTTCACCTGCTGCTCTACCTGACCGACCCAACGCTGTTTCTGTCCGTCATGAAACACACTGTTACAAACAGTTCCTGCAAACATTTACTGGCAAACTGCTCCTAACAAGATAAACAATAAATATCGTCATTCTGACATTAACAACTTAATTTTATTTTTTACTCAGGATCATTTTGTTCGTGTTTGGTCTAGAAAGGGGTAAATGTGTGCATTTTGTTATAAAGTTTTGTATATTTACAGTGTGTTGCAAAAAACCAAGTAGCTTATAAACATCCGATTTTAAAACAAAAATAAGAGAAACGTCATTTTATTTTGGTTATCATGATTTATTTTTTGTACGAGAGGATTTTGCATTTCCTGTTTCTGTTTCTGTCAGAGAAAGGGGAGGCTTTCTGACCCCTGGAGGGACAGACCTCCTGAGCTGGAGTGGGAGTTGTATGGATTAGTTAGAGATCAGGTCACCCCCACTTCAAGTACAATATCTTGTCCCAGGATATTATGGGTCTCTGTAAAGATGTTTTAAATCCATCTGATTAGTTGGTTTCACAGAGATCTCATGTTTTGGTGTTCATTAAATCCCTTGTTATGGTCCATGGCAATGAATGATTCGAATATTGCTCACCTGAATTAATCGAAAACACATAATTGTATTTAATCTTCCCAAAAGGTTTCTTTCCCACATACGTGTGCTCCAAACAGTGATGTAAGTGATGTGCAAGACACATTAGCTCCATGGTTAGTGAGGTAGAGGTTTTACAGTGAACAGCTTCCAGCAGAGCACACATCTGTTCAGGCAGCACACAAACACATTGACCTGCCGAGAGGAGGGCAGTGATCCAAGCCACACTGTGAAGCTCTTCATGTCCTCACCGAGGCCGCATGTTCCTGTGACCTCTGCTGACCCCAGACCAGTCAGCCTGCAGGCCATCAGAACACATGGACCAGTGCACTGCAGCGGCCTCATTAGTCAGCACAACGTTCATCATCATCATCATCATCATCATCATCATCATCATCATCATCATCATCATCATCATCATCATCATCATCATCATCATCATCATCCTCATCATCCTCATCATCATCATCAGGACTGCGCAGCTTGTTGACTAATCCTTTCTTTAAAAATACATCAATTAAACAGATGTCTGGAACTTTTGACTCTCAATAGAGAGATACTCAATTTTTAATGTTGGATTTTCAGTTGAATTATATTTATGGTTCAAGAAAACCCACTTTTAAAAGGATTCATTTTTGTTCGAAGTTTAAAGTATGCATGATGTTTCCTAAATCAGGTTTTGGGCTCTGGTGGTGAGAGTCCGCCCACATCCCCAAAAAGCGTGGGGCCGCCCCTGACCATTGAGCATTCAGACGGGATTAAAATCATTCCCGATACCAGCAGTTCCCTTTCCTGACGGTTGGATGCTGCTCTTATTCCCGGCCCATCGCTCCCTCTCTGCTCCGGTACAAAGCGGCACATTGAGCTGCAGTGACACCGAGCAGCAGGCGTCCCCCGGCTCTCCGCACAGTGTCTCCCCGCTGGCCGCTGACGGGCTGCGGGACAGAATGAGGACCGGCCTCGGTGTCATCCCGCAGCCCTGCCCGCTCCGGGCTTTCTCTACTCAATACGTTAGCTAGCGAACAGAATCTGTTCTGAGCCATCGAATTGTTACTGCATGCTGACGGATTTCCTGAACAGCAGACTGAGGGTTCGGACCCGATTCATGCGAGGGACCTGCGGCGGGGATCGACAGGCTCTCGGACACCGGGAGCAGCAGAGGCTCCACAGGGCGTCTGCTGCCGGCAGCTCCAACAGAACCTCAGCTTACTCATGCCACAATAGGATCCTACCACCTGCAGTATTTGTATTCATTAATGTTAATTATACTGGGTAAAGGAGCAGCCCTCTCTGGATCACAACCCTGTGCTGCCTCTCACTGTGGATTTACCGTCGACCGGCACGAGCTGTGGAAAAACGGAGACATGACATGCACGAGAAAAAAGAGGAAACAGCTTTGGGTTCTTTAAGCACTTTGATTAATAAAGGGAGTCCTCAACAGGCTTCCCTTAACACCCTTTAGGAAGATCTGGACCGTTGACACAGCTGTCAGCTCAGCAGGTGATCTATCTCTCGTGTATGATGTGTGGAGCAGCCTAACGGTTCATGTGGACTGCATCGTGGACTGCATCACGGCCTGCCCGCCACAGAGTGGAGGACCAGCGGCCCAGCAGGTAAGGACCACAACATGAACACCATTTTGTGCTGCCTACAGATCCCAGGTCTGCTGCCTGCTCTGCAGCCATTAGCCTGAGTGTGTCTCTGCAGGCCCAGACTGGGACTCTCTGGGACACAGCCTTTGTCTGCCAGCCTCTACAGGGCTGTCATCTAATGAGGGGGGGCATTATGCAGAGCTAAGCTAATGTTTGATGCATGTCTCACAGCAGCATGCAGTGGTCAGTGTGACACTGCTATGTTGATGATAAATAATACAGGCTTTTCCCTGGCTCGCTCAGCACTGGGACAAGCAAGTGATTTAATATAATTTGGTGTAATGTGGCCCGGAGAACCCAGCTCCCCCCACCTCCCCTGCTTATACACAGATCATGTGGTGTGTGGTTTAAAGCAGCCTGGCTCCTAAATGCTGGACTGCAGCAGTCACTGGCCCCCCACTCCTACATGTGAGGGGCCTGATGCTGGGCCCCTCTGTCAGAGACCAGCTCTGTCTCCGTCTCCTCCACTGGGCTCTGTCGCCTCCTCCCACCGACATTGAGCCAGAGGTATTGGGCTGCTGTTGCTACCCAGTTCCTGACAGTGACTCTGCCCTCCCCCGCCAACCAACTCTCAGCTCTGCAAAGCCCCTCCTTCAGACTCAGCCCCCCCAGACCCCCAGCCTGTGGAGCTGTGAGCACTGCAACTCAAACAGAACCTGATAAAAACAGTATATGAAAGTCAAATGAATTAACCACATGTCATCCCTACATCTCTTTTGTTATCACCCTCTGATTTACATTAATCATTTCCTGTTTTCACTCTCCTTTAACACTGAGAGGCTTAAGCCCTTTTTTAATATGTTTGGTTTGCCTTGTATTCTTGCTTAATAATGCATGTATAACCTCAACCCTGAAAGGCATAATCAAGTTATACATCTTTCTTTTCAGGATAAACTAAGCTATCAGCACATCTAGGCTACAAGGATGCCACATTAAGGCTTTTCCTTTTTGCTTATTTGTAATAAAATGTCGTCAAAGGCTCTCCTCATGTTCACAAACAGCTGATATTAGACTGTTCTTGGACTGTGCTGACAGATAACCAAATAGATAAATAAATAATTCATAGAAACATTTTCAGAGGCTCCTATCTTGAAATGGCAAAACTGACATCCCCCTTTATTTGCTTTCGTCTCTTTTTATTTGTGAATGAGGTGTTCTGCAGGCACAGCAGCAGTGTGAACAGTGGTGTAGTGGGGATTTTTTTACTGGGTGGACGCTATTTTAATTAGGTCATCCCAAACAATGCCACAGACTCAAAACCATGAACACACCGGCACTAGGCCTGTCAAGATAATACATTTTGTTGGACGATAAATTTTTCCGGAAATTATTGCGATAAACGATAATATTGTCGGCACCGTTGTAAGACCATTTTAGACCACTGACATAATGATAATATATAATAATAATTCAAGTACATCCTTTCAAACAGAACTTTTTTATTGAACATTCAACATTGCAAATGAAATGTGAAATAATATTCAAATATATAAATTATATATAATAAATAAAAAAATATATTAAATTATAAAAAAATTATTAAATCACACAACCAAAACAATCAAATAAATAGACTCAGGCTGGAAAACAGAGCTCTCTCTCTCTCTCTCTCTCTCTCTCTCTCTCTCTCTCTCTCTCTCTCTCTCTCTCTCTCTCTCTCTCTCTCTATATATATATATATATATATATATATATATATATATATATATATATATATGTATATTTATTTATATATATATATATACAAATAAATAAATAAATATGAGCACACATTGTCTCACAAGCAAAAAAAACCTCAACAGGCCATATCCAAATCTGTATCAATCAAATATTTCGAGCAAGGAACACCAGCATGTTTGCATTGTCGGGCAAATGCATCTTTGATTGGAAACTGTCGGGAAGGTGGGGGCTCTCCATCTCCAGCTGCCGTGTTGGCTCCCAGCTGGGAAAACGGAATGGGTAGGTTGTGTTTCAGGTGCAGTTTAAGGTTGGTCGTATTGCTAGCTTTTGTTGCTACCTTTTTAAAACAAATGCGACACACCGCCCGGCTCATTGAAGTCCGTAGGTTCGCCTCGTTGATTTGGCTTAAATCCAAAATATTCCCACACCGGAGATGGAGTTAGGTTTTGAAACCAATAGCAGCCAAATTAATAATATAGAGACAAGCAGGAGATAACGTGTGACTTACTCGAGGGGAATTTGAAGTTAAAAACTTCAAATTCCCCTCGAGTTATCTCCTGCTTGTCTCTATATTATTAATTTGGCTGCTACACTGCTGCACGCGGAGTGTCCTGACCTGGCTGTGTGTGAGCCCCGCCCCTCACGGCGCGCCTGGCTAAAATGCTGGTCACATCCTTATGTAAACAAACACGCATGTAAACGGCAATTTATCGAGTTCAGAAAAGTTATCGAGTTCATTTTTATTTATCGTACGATAAGTCAATTAATTGCTTATCGCGACAGGCCTAACCGGCACATAAGTTACATAAGAGAGAAGCAGACAGCGCTGCTTCTCTCTCTTTCTATCTCCACTTTCAAAATCTATTTAAAACTCATAACAAACAAACAAAATTCCCAAAGTTGTCCTGAAATTAACTTATTTAGCTTCGGTGCTGCTAGCCTCTTTCTTCTATTGAATGATATTCTTTTTAGAAAATAAGTCAAGTAACGTTTTTTTGCCTGCCATTATAGAGCTGTTTCGTTTGCGATAATTTTTTATTATTATAATTACTGTGAAATGTATTATGTTTTCGTCATTATTACAACAAATTCACACTTGCAACTGATAACACTGGCAATGATTTTATATTTATTAGACTATTAAAAAAAAAATCATGCTTCAAAAAAGTGGGGGCTCCAAATAAGTGGGGGAACAGCGATCCCCCGCGTCCAATGACCACTACACCACTGAGTGTGAATGCTTTGCTCAGGATTTGTTGGATTGGCTTTCTCTGGATCCACTCATCTGGACCTAAACCATAATTGCATACTTTTTTTTTTCATGTGATCCTTGTTTTCACTGCACAGCCAAAACATTCTGAATGCTGACCAAAGAGGCTCCATCACTTAATGCACACTGTAGGAGCCATTTGTGTGTATTGTTGGCATGTCCGTTCATTTTATTTTAAAGTGCAATATTATTTTTGAACACTTGGTGTGTGGCTGTGATAAGCTGCACAGGGTATATAATTAGGGTCATTGGTGACTGGAAAGGGACAGGAAGAGGGAGAGCATACCCATCCAACCATACACAGCAGATGCTCACAGCTACAACAACTCACTCATCAACCTTAGTAATGTACAAATTCTTCAATAAACACCCAGCCAAACTGAATCCAACGTCGTGAAATTCATCAGTTTTTGTCTGCATAAAGATCACACTCAGCCTCACCTGTGTAATAATGGCAACCGGAATAAATGACGTTGAACCACTTAAATTAAAGGGCCCATGTCATGGCCATTTCCACTGATCATAATTACATTGTTGAGGTATACTAAAATAGATTTATACTGTGCAATTTTCCAAACTCACATTGGTTTCGCATACAGCATCTCTGTCAAGCATGTGTATTCAGCAGTATTCACTTTCTCCACTAAACGACTCGTTGGAGCTCTTGCCCCCCCCTCCCTGTGAGCCTAGTGTGCTCCGATTGGTCAGCTCGGCCACTCTGTTCTGATTAGTCAACCACCAGAGAGGCTGCGCCCATGTCTAAACGGCTGCTCTCAGCCGAACATCAGTCTTATCATGGCGTCGGTACAGCCGTATATTTTATATACATATATATATTTTTAACTGTTGTTATAGAAGAGTGTGACGGCCCCAGGGCCTTTGTCTTACGATGGGGTGGAGCTGAAGAGGCTAATCAGCGCGATCACGGACACCTGGCCGGAGCCGAGGTGCTAGCCAGCTGCCGGGAGTCACACGGCAGCCTCTCTCTCCCTCCAAGCAGCACAGCAATCCTCTTCCCTGACCACGTATCTCTGCATTTACCACAATAAATGTGCCGTGGTTTTGTAAACTCGTGTATGTCTCCTTGTCTTTCCGTTGTGGCCTACGAGCCGGTCATAACAAAGAGTAAGTTATTTTTACCCGTTATAAACTACTACTGTTTGATGAGAAATCAAATCATGGTTTGCTATATATAGTATTTCCATTAAACTTTATTTTTAGAAATGTACAAAATGAACGTAAATATACATATATACACGGTATATCGTCAATCACTCCCCGTTGTCGGCATCTTGCCTATAGCAGCCGGGGCTTTTTAGGACGAGGCCTCAGTGTGGTAGTCCGGTCCCCGTCATGTATTGTCCGGCAGGATCTGGCTGGACGAAATCAAATGCAAATCACAAAATATTAGAGAAACTTAGTTGTTTTAGATTCGTTAGTAGTAGTTGTGGTAGGAGTGTGGATCTATCTAATCAATCTAATGAACAGCTTGCCAGCTAATATGCTAACCTAGCTTTGTTTACCTTGGTAGCTAACGTTAGCTCGGAGGAACGGCAACTATAATGTAGAGTAATAAAACTACTATGAACAAAAACTAGTGGTTCATATTAGGCTAGCAATAACGTGTTTATAATTGCAATGTTATACGGGTAGTCTGCTACGTTCGGTCATACATTGTAACGGTCATGAATACATTGTTTTGCGCTAGCATACAGCTAGCCTCGAGCTATACATGCAGTATATGTACTGTCACAATGTACGGTAAATCACCCGGAGTATACTGTATGAGTATTCCGTGTGTGTGACTGCAGACATTCTCCTGCCATGACAAACATGTAAGGCCATCTGCTGACATTGTAGTTGATATATTTAAACGCTAGCAACGTAGCATCACAAAAATGTTTTTCCGACCAAACCTAGCTCTAGCTCTAGCTCCGTGTGTTAGATCGGTTGCATACACGCTACGCCAGCTATAATGTAATTACGTTTCGCGACTGACCGCACGGCAAATCACCCGGAGTATACTGTCAATAGGTATTTTGTGTGTGACTGCAGACATTCTCCTGCTATGAGATACATGTATGCAAGGCCATCTGCTGATATTAGAGTTGATATATGGAAACTCTAGCAACTTAGTTAGCACAGTTAGCACTGTGTCAATGGCTTAGCAGTCCAACACAGTTTACACATTTAAACAGTCTTGTTTGATAAATACACAAATAACAATGCAAACTTACAGGTTGTGTACCCGAATCTTCCCCTGCTCCAAACGGTCCAAACAAGCTGTGCATATCCGGCCTCAAACTGGGCAATGTTTTGGAAGCTTTCGTCTGTGAAATGCCGGTTCTTCGAACCTCTGGAGGAACACGCCGCTGCTGGTGTGGCCATAGCTCTTCGGGATTGGTCCATTTCGTTCCGGGTACCGCATGACATCAGGCGGTACCCGGAACTAAATGGAAGACTCAAATGGGCAGTGACGTATCTCCAACGAGGCGTTTTGGGGAGGTATTTTCTGTGTTAGAGTTTTACTCGCTACAGGGTGTACTTTCAGGGTTTTGACTCTGCACACCGTTTACATGCATAAAAACCTTCATAACACACAAGGGGACGGGTAATAACCGGAAAAGCATGACATGGGAGCTTTAACATTACACACACTATAAGACCAGCTTTAGTGGTTGGTGTGATAAATGTACGTAGGATTAACTTTCTTCCCGGATTACAGTGGAGCACAGCTTCTTATCTGAGCCTTCACAAGTAGCATTCAGGACTTTCAAATATTGAAACAGTCCAAATGAGTGTATGGTTTTAGAAGTAAGATTGTTTTGGATAAAGTGCTTTTCTAAATTGCATCTTAAATGCAGTTTCTGATGCTTCCTGCCGGTACACATATCACGGATATGGAATCCTAATAAAATATGAGCATTTTAAGTTAATGCTGAATTTTAGGTAACTTTAATTTCCTACACGTTTCAGGAGAGTTTAGCTGCTTTTAGGCTTTATTAATTTACTGTCACACAGAATAACATGATAACTGAAAATAAGAAGCATAGTATACTGTTCTCTTTTACTGGAAACATATAAATGATCTCCCAACCAAGCATGTTTCAGAGTTTACTCCTAACGTTTCTACAGTGTCTTAATCTGTCCTAATTATGAGATTATTACATTTTTGTAAAATAAGTATGAGGATTGACTGGCCTTACAGCAGGTCCTATTTCACTGAATCTTTTATCATTATTTATCTCTCTGGAGTCACATGGTACTCCCCCACATTAACTAATTATGAACATTAAAAGACTGAAACTGGGTTACAGCTCTCTTGAAAAGTGACAAACACACAAATGTCACTGAAGTGTCTTCTCGTGGGGTTGCAATATTTCACTTGATCAACTTAAACTAATATACTTAACATAACCCTGTATTTCTTTCAGATTTATCATGAAAACTCCTTACACCCACTATTGCATTAGTATATGCATGAGTCATACTTAGCAGGTTGCTCTGCAATAGTTCATGATCAGCAGATTGATTTAAAAGTGGTGTATCTTTTGAATTCAATGTAAAACCATGTGCTCACTTAAATGTGGATTGTCTGCATTGGATTGACACTAAAAACAAACCTCATTGAGTTTGAGACCAGTTTATCGGTTGGTGTTGGCCTTCAGTCTGTTCAATGAGTTCCTGGAGAGGATGGTCCAGTTCTGTTTCACCACCAGATTACATTTCCCCTCGGCCTCCTGCTAGCTCTCAACATCTTCCCAATCCGTCTGGTTGACATCAAAAAGGATCCTCCTGATATGGCGGCTGGTCCACATCAAAGTTTGATAGATAGTTTTAACCGCAAACTTTAAGAGTTTTGAAAACACCCCTAGGCACCAAAAATGATGTTATTTAAATTGTAATAATTTGCCTCATTATAGCTTAAGAAGTCATTTACATAAACAGCAACCTTTCTTTGACTTAACATTTTTATAAAAAGTGATTCTGTGGTACTACATAGATGACTCTCCACAGACAAATGTAAAAGAGATTCATCCAAACTTCTAATTCTTTGTCTGTCCTTTTGTTTTCAGGCACCTGGAGTGGATCAGGAGGTGAGAGGATCAAATACACCGTCAAAGGGATCCTGCTTGAAATGGGGCAATGTGGATTGAGGTGTTCCCGTTCCTTGTGAACCGCGGAAAAAGAGCAACCACGAGGACGCAGGAACCATTAGTAGAAGGAGGAGGCCGTGTGGGAGCGGCGGCTTTGGTGTGTGTAGAAAAGCTGGTATGGGTGGAGGGGCAATCGCGATGGCGAATGGGAACGAGAGCAGTGAAGGGCCTGCTGGGCCAATAGCAGTGGTGGCTACCGCAGGAGGCATGGTAGCAGAAAGCCCCTCCTCGGCTGTATCTACCTATATTAAACTGGTGCTCCTCGGGCTGATCATCTGCATCAGCCTGTTGGGCAACCTGGTGGTGTCTCTGCTCGTCCTGCGGGACCGGGCCCTGCACAAAGCACCTTACTACTTCCTGCTGGACCTGTGCCTGGCAGACACCATTCGCTCTGCCATCTGCTTCCCCTTTGTGCTGGTGTCTATAAAGAACGGCTCGGCCTGGACCTACAGCGTGCTGAGCTGCAAGGTGGTGGCCTTCATGGCGGTGCTCTTCTGCTTCCATGCCGCATTCATGCTGTTCTGCATCAGTGTAACACGCTACATGGCCATTGCACACCACCGCTTTTACTCGAAACGCATGACATTCTGGACTTGTGTGGCAGTGGTGTGCATGGTGTGGACACTGTCCGTGGCAATGGCGTTCCCACCAGTTTTTGATGTGGGCACATACAAATTTATTCGCGAGGAGGACCAGTGCATCTTTGAGCATCGCTACTTTAAGGCTAACGATACACTAGGTTTCATGCTAATGCTGGCTGTGCTCATTCTAGCCACACATGTTGTCTACATGAAGTTGCTCCTCTTTGAATATAAGCACCGCAAGATGAAGCCGGTCCAGATGGTGCCGGCCATCAGTCAGAACTGGACCTTCCATGGGCCGGGGGCTACTGGCCAAGCCGCAGCCAACTGGATTGCGGGCTTTGGGAGGGGGCCGATGCCGCCGACCCTGCTGGGTATCCGACAGAACTTGCACAACCAGAACCGGCGCCTGCTGGGCATGGATGAATTCAAAGTGGAGAAGCAACTTGGCAGGATGTTCTATGTGATCACCCTGCTGTTCCTGGTGCTCTGGTCTCCATACATAGTAGCTTGCTATTGGCGGGTGTTTGTGAAGGCCTGTACAATACCACACCGGTACCTCTCCACCACAGTGTGGATGAGTTTCGCCCAAGCCGGGGTCAACCCTATTGTCTGTTTCTTCCTCAACAAAGACTTGAAGAAAGGGCTCCTTTCCCACCTACCAGCCTGCTGCAGGACTAAACCTCATTTGCCACGAGAGCCTTATTGTGTCATGTGATCAGAGAGGATCTAAACAGAGAGGAAACACGGGGCAGCCAACAGTGTTGAGTGTTTGCTTGAACTGTTGCCGCATTTCAATACAATAGAAGCTATTTTTAAGCAGTGGTTGCAAACTAGTAAGTGTGATGATAACACTGGAATGGTTAGCATGTATTTCATTCGTCCAACCCTTTTTTCTCTCAAAACCACCTCATACATGGAGTCAGACTTTGACTTTTGATAATAAGAAACACAGTACTTTAATAAGAAAACATGCAAGTGATAATGCAGTCATTATGGAAACCAAGCCAGACAAACACCCAACAAATTACACAAGCTGCTTAAAAAAGAATGGCAAATTAGAAACATCTAGGGTTGATTCAAAGGATAGGAAGATTCCTACGGGGGACAAAGATAATAAAGAATAAACGTTTGTACTTCAATTAAAATGTCACTTATGTGCTGGATTAGTAAGCAAAGCCTTTTGTATAGTGACAGTGAAGAGGAACAGGTCATATCAGCAACATGATGTCACATTCTGGCCAGAAAATAGCCATTTAAGGAAAATAAAATAATTGAAAAGTAGGGGGATCACTGCATTCCTGGAGTCCGCAGAGGCAGCCTCACGGAGTCAGAGGGCGGAGAGATGGGTTAACCTGAGCTCACGATTGTAATGAATTATGAATACTTCTATGAAAGCTCTTTACTGAACAGGAAACTGAGGCAAACACATGAGTGACAGGAACACCAGCTCTAAGACCAGGATGATGTGTTTACTTCCTTACTGATTAAGACAGAAGTTATCCATGCTATGATTTATCAAGGTGTCACTAATTGAATTAACTAACACAAACTAAGGTGACTGACAAATCTTCCTTCTGATACACATTATTATTATTTAGATCTGTGCATGACTTTGAGTCAAAAGAGAGGAAGTGATCATCTGCAAACATTAACAGCAGCTTGACAAAGTGTTAGCACCGCGCCCAGCTGCATAAAAGGCTTCTCTTAGCCCAGAGCAGATTTTTGTTATAAACAACACAGTACCTTTGGTGTCCGGTAGGCAGGGCCATGCTGAGAGTGCTGATGTCCAGCAGCAGTCCCTCGGCTCTGGTGTCTTAATACGCCTAGTTTATCAGAACAGCTTGTTTCTGAAGCATGGGATTCACCTGTGAATGTATGTAAATGTCTGTATTGTGGACCATTGAATTGAAATTCATTTTTAATTCATAATATTTCATAATAACTTTGTGTTCATGTACCAATGGCAAAGCTTTTTTTCTTGTTTGTCTCAGTCACTTCTCCTCTGAAGGAGTGCTTAAGCGGTTATTCGCCACTCAGTACTAATATCAGAAGAGTGCGGCCATGTCTTCATTACCATGCTGGTCCTGCAACATGAAAACGTTTTTATTTATGTATGCTGATAGACTGTGTGTTTTCTAAGCCCATCAAATTAACGTGTGAAGTTCCAAAACACTGAACTAAATGCAAAAGATTCAGGAACAATTATTATTATTATCAGTCAGAGAAAAAGGAGCTGCACTGGGAGGAGGAGAGATGACAGACAGCAGGAATACACTGACAGGTGAGCCTGATTTCTTTATGAGACCCCTTGAGGACACATCCCAGAGTTCCCGTTAGCCGGTAATTACCGGACAATGACCGGTAAAATATGCTGAAGTCCGGCAAATCTAAATCTCTCCGGTCAAAATGTCCGGTCAAAATAATTTTCCCTTAGCGCAATACCGCATCAGTTGCGCCACTTATGTGACAGACAAGAATAGTATGTGACAGACAAAAGAGTATGTGACAGACAAAAATTGTCAATTCTAATGTCTAACACTTAATGTGGAGAAAGAGATGTCCTGTATGGGTTGATTGTGCGTTGATCTGTTGGTAATGCCTCGGGGTTCCGGTGGGCATGTAAACAAATGCATAATGCTGCGCTATACTTTGTGGCCTCATCCGGTTGCATAGCGACGCTTATTGTTTAGGTGTCTTTTAACAAGCAGGTAGTCATATCATTAGCTAGAACTAGCTAGATCTGATCGATATGGACATAAATGCGAGTAAAGTCTAATCTGACAGGAGAGAGAGATCGGCTGCTGCTGACGAGTCGACACGCAGCTCTGCATGATCCCCTGCAGCGGCGAGCAGAGCAAAACACACTTCAGGTTAGAAAATCACACGTAGCTATTTTAATTACCTCTCAAACTACCTAAACTAGTTATAGATATGTTTAGTTTTACTGTCGGGTCACTCATTACTGGATCCGCGAGCTGCATGATACTGACGGGCTGTCAGGAGAAGGAGAGAGCGCTCCGTTTATTATTCCCGCGTTTTTGTAAATTACTGTACACTTTTGAATAATGTAGTTAATCTACTATAATTAGTTTGTTTAATGTCGAATCATATCAATTTGTTTTAAAGCTCAATAAATAACAAAGAAGACCTTTAACCGGCACTTATCTAATTTTGTCCGGAAGATTTCAACTTTAACGGACATGTTGACCGGCAAAAAAATATTCTAACGGGAACTCTGACACATCCTTTACACCTGTCACACCTGAGAGCAGCTCAATGAAGTCCTGAGCTGTAGCTAGGCTCTGGTCCCTGCATAGCTCTCATCACTTGTTGAGGGACAGTATGTTCTAAAATACAGTAGATATCAGAGACAGGAGCTCTAGGCAACAGCAAGAAAGGGGTGGGGGTCCTAAACACTATATGGACTCCCTGTTCACATATAGTCTAGCCAATATTAATCTTTTGGCATTACAGCAGGCTCTATCACACACATTGGTTTTGCTGCTTCACCCATTCAGAGCAGCCAACAATGGGTGCTGCACATTCAGCTAGGACTGATTATGGGAAAGCACTCAATCCAAATTCTGAATCATATAAATGTCATATACTTACTTTTTAGAATCAACATTATGAAATGAAGTCTGAATTTATAGTTACTTTATAGAAAGTAGAAGTAAAACTCCAAACAATAGAAACTTTGATTACACACGTGAGGACAGAGATCTACGGACTTGAGGTAAAAAACCACTAGAAAGAACGCAGGTCAACTAAAGTGACCTTTGAAATGTGGTACTTTGGTAACACTAAAAACCACACCGCTCACAGCCAACATACAGCACAACATGTTTTATTAGCTCATAAGACTACAAGATGCATCTGAATCAACATCCGCCTGGTTTTGTTTGATGGCACAGTGGAGCCAAAGTCTCATTAAGCATACATCTTCATCACTTCACACAGGACTGAAGTTAGAGGGTGCAGTAGAAGAGACATCTGCTTTATTTGAGTACAAATCTAAAAATGGATAAATGTGCTTTTTCCCTGTTTCTTTCTGAAATGAACTGTAAGACAGGTAGAAATGGAAGGGGAGGACAGGGCACAGAGAATGTCTGAAAACATGACATTGTCCTTAAGATTGAGGGAATATTGTATTAGGGGTTTGAGGTGCCCCTTGTTCTCTGCCGTGGCATATCTTACAGCCCCAACAACAGCATGCTGCAGAGAAACGCTTATCTTCATTTGATCTTTTCTGAATTATGGCCTTACTCCACTAAAGAAATGTCACACCAATGGAACAAAGAGTAGACAAACGTGTCTCCTCTGTCTGCACTACAATCAGGAGGGGGCAGAACACTGTGTACACCGGAGACATCAGGAGACTCGTTGCTCTCCCCATCAGACCTGGCCCACCAGGGACCATGACGGCGCGGGGGGGGGGTAGACTGATGATCTGAGTGACCCCTACTCCGGATTTCTGTGGGATTTTGTTGAATGAAGTAAAAACATTGAGTCTGTCTATTTTCCTTTCTGAGACTAAGCTGTTGCTGGAGCAGCCTGAGCTTTTTGAGTTGCCTCAGGCAGATTCTCTTTTGTAAATGTACAGTGACCTCTGTATTGTTAGTGTGTATTATAATGACAGCTAATCAACTCTGAAATGCAACAGAACAGTTCCTGATCACCAGATTTGTACTGTGTGCGTGTTTGTGTGTTTCTATTGGCAGGAATGATTGTGTGTGTAAGATGATGGTTACATGAATGGAAGAAGAACTAAGAGGGAACACTGACCAGATACATTTTACATTTCAATGACATCATTCCTGCTAAAGCTTCTTTAGTATTCTTCATGTGGGCCTTCTCCAAGGGATCAGCTTTTGTTTTAAAAGCAATGAAGTTGACTTTAAGTCCCTTATGTCATAAATAATTATTAACTTAATATACTTTTTTGTATATATTTAGAGATAATGAAGGAAAAAAAGCTTGACATAAATCACATAAATGTGACAGGCTAAATGTGATTGCATACACTGGTCTATTTCTGAATGTTTCATTCAGTGAATTAAAAGAAAGCATCTTAAACAACCAATAATATTGAACAACCAAGAACTGTACAAACCCCTGGCAGTTTCTCAATGACATCAAATCAGCACTAACAAAGTGTTCTTTTCTTTAAAGGTGACACAGAAGGTTCTGCTTGGTCACCTCCATCAGTACTGCTAATGGTGAGATGTGCTAACACAGTGACCTCCAGAGGTGGGAGAAGTACTCAGATCTTGTACCTGAGTAAAAGTAGATGTACCAGAGTGTAGGAATACTCTGTTACAAGTAAAAGTCCTGCATTCAAAATCTTACTCAAGTAAAATCACAAAGGTATTAGCATCAAAAGTACTTATTCTGCAGATTGGTCCATTTCAGAATAATATATATGATATGTTTTATAATGATTGATCATGAAAGTGTTCTCAAAGCTGGTAAAGGTGCAGCTAGTTTGAATGACTTTGTATACTGCAGGGTAGCTTGTGAATTTACTCCAGATGGAACTAAAGTCTGATTTAACACTTGATTATATTTCACATCATTCATCCACATCTGTGAAGTAACTAAAGGGATTAAATACATGTAGTGGAGAAAAAGTACACCATGTACCTCTGAACTGTAGTGGAGTACACAGTAGCATAAAAGGAAATAGTAAAGTACAAGTATCTCAAAATTGTACTTAAGAACAGTACTTGAGTAAATGTACTTAGTTACTTCCCACCTCTGGTGACCTCACAGTCACATGATCGGCAGCTTGGAAACTGACAGGTTGAACACAGCCTGGCTGTTTCCTCCATCATGACTGGGAACACCTGCATCAGTCTGACCTCCAGATAAAGTAGTTTGGACTGTGTGATCATCTGACAGCCTTTGTGTTATTGTCACACTTTGGTTTTTAGCATGTCGCCCCTCAACAAAAACCAATACAAATAATTGACAAGGCATACAAAAAAAAACACAAGTAAAAAATTCTTCAATGGTTCTATTTTGTGTCAAAGATTGCTCCTGGTCATGTCAGAAGGGTGCAAAGTGTTACCAGAGGCTAGCAGTGCAGCTAGCTGAAGCAGAGGCCAAGGCAGCGTTTGTTTAAAGAAGTCCAGAAAAGTTGAACCCAGTTGTTCCATTGAATACAGAATTTGGTGTGAATGCTGTCATGAATGTGGAAGTGGATGTGCCACAGCAGTCAGTGAGTCAGATTCACATTGGAAGTCAGTGTTTGGTTGTTCTGCTGTGTAACTGTTTGAACCCGCACAGCAACAGAAACACACCAACAGGAATCACAGCAGCTTTATACAGCGTTTCTGTTCTCCAAATGTTGCCCTGTCTTAGAAAGGGTGCCAGTTCATGAATTATTTGGAACATGTTTAATTTAAACCTTAGGGTATACCATTAAATGTCAAAGGTTAAAAGAAAAATGTAATCTCAGTGAATCCGGAAGGCAAACAGCTGACATAAAGCAAAAGGTTTGAAGGATGTACGAGGGGTTTCCTCTGACTCAGCATCATGGAGCCGGCTCGGACTGCAGGTTCCTTTTGTTTGTTTTGGTTTTTTAAATGGTTGAGCTATAACGCATGTCTCTGGAAATTGATGACTTTGTAAAAATAATAAATTTCCTTTGAAATGATCATGGCAGTGCTTCCAATAATTCCTGGTTGTGATGGTATATTGCTTTTAAAGATGCATGTTGCATACCAAGCATACATGTATTGTTCCACTCTGCTGTTCATTATTGGTCCAGGTTTTCTGTCTCTGAGATCTTTCTCACAACACTCATTTAATACCAACGGACACTTGATGCTTGCTCCACAAATGACAGCTCAACTTGCTTTCAATGGCAATCAAGGTTTAAAGCTCACCTATTATGCTATATTTGAACAATATATTATAGGCAGGGGTGCACATAACCTTTTTAGTGAGTTACTCAGATGAGTACCAGGAGACAGCGTTTGGTACTCACCCCACACGAAGCGTGGTGTTAATAAATGCAGTCCCCCTCCCTGTCCTCCTCAGTGTCTCCTTCACTGTCCTCCTCAGTGTCCCCCTCCCTGTCCTCCTCAGTGTCTCCTTCACTGTCCTCCTCAGTGTCTCCTTCACTGTCCTCCTCAGTGTCCCCCTCCCTGTCCTCCTCAGTGTCTCCTTCACTGTCCTCCTCAGTGTCTCCTTCACTGTCCTCCTCAGTGTCTCCTTCACTGTCCTCCTCAGTGTCTCCTTCACTGTCCTCTAGTTCCTCTTCTTGC